GGGGGCGCGGCAGGAGGGGCACCGCCGCTTCCCGCGCCGCCGGCGAGGCGGCGGGCTCACAGGGCCTCGGCCGACGCGTCCGTGGACACCGCCATGGTGACCCTGGCGATCTTGACCGTGCTCTTGATGCAGCGCTCGGCGGCGCGGTGCACGCCGGCCGCGGGGCGCGCGCGCCGGTGCGGGCCGTCCGAGTCGCCCGCGCTGCTGTCCAGCGGCTGCGCGGCGGCCTCGCACGCGGGGAACATGCTGCGGAAGGCGTGCCGCAGGTCCTGGCTGCGCAGGGCGTAGATGACCGGGTTCACGGTGGAGTTCAGCAGGCAGAGCATGCTGCAGAAGGCGAACACCGTCTTGATGGGCTTGCTCACCTTGCCGAAGACGTCGTACACCATGATGGCCAGCAAGGGGCCCCAGCAGACGATCAGCACCGCCAGGATCAGCACCAGCGTCCGGGCCAGCCGGATGTCCATGCGCGCCTGGTCCGGCCGCGTGGCCTGCAGCTTGCCGTCCTCGGACGCGTGCAGCACCGCGCTCTTCTGGGCGCCGCGCTGCAGCATGCGGACGGCGTGGCCGTGGGCCGTCCAGAGGATGTACACGTAGGCGTACACGATGACCAGCAGCAGCGCGCCGGTGACCCCCACCCAGAACATCAGGTAGGCCTCGTCGATGAGCGGGAAGATGTCGGAGCAGGCGGACCGCAGCCGCTTGCAGTTCCAGCCCAGCAGCGGCAGCGCGGCGATGGCGACGGCGACGGCCCACGTCAGGCAGAAGGCCAGCACGGCCCTGGGCCGCGTGACGATGCGCCGGTAGGCCAGCGGCCGGTGGATGCAGATGTAGCGGTCGATGGCCGTGAGGAAGAGGCTGCCCACGGAGGCCGTGAAGGAGGCCGTGACGCCGCCCAGCTTGAAGAGGAACACGCGGGGGCTGTCCTTGCGGTGGAACACGTGGAAGTCCACGAAGCTGTAGACGAAGATGACGCTGCCCAGGAGGTCGGCCACGGCCAGGCTGCCGATGAAGTGGTAGGAGGGCCGGCAGCGCAGGCCGCGCGCGTGCAGGATGACGCACAGCACCAGCAGGTTCTCCAGGACCGTGAAGGTGCCCAGCGTGAGCGACAGGACGGCGATGGCCAGCTGCTGGCTGGGGTCCAGGATCATGAAGCACTCCATGTCCATGAAGTTCTCCCCGCACTGGATGCTCTCCTCGCCCTCCTTGAGGGACGAGAGGGACTTGTTGGAGAACTCCGTGAGGTTGGCCTGCTCCGCCGCGCCCAGCGGGGAGCTGTCGCCGGCCGTCATCTTCTCCGGGAAGGGGCTTCCCCTGAAGGCCGTCAGGGGGAACTTCTGGGGCAAGTAGCCGAGTTTGGACGCCATGTCGCCTCTGACGCCTTGGTACGGGACGTCATTCGAGCCCACGTAGAGCAGGTCTGTGGTGATGGTGCGGAAGGTGGTGTCTGCGAGACCCTCCAGGAGCGACTTCATAACCTCAGTCTTCGAGGAGGCCACACGCAGAGGGACGGGGAGCGCGGCCGGCAGCAGCGGTCCTGGCGGGAGGAAGAACAAGCAAGCTGAATGGGGAGACACCCGCGAGAACCACAGAAACAAAGAAGCGCCAGGAACAGCGCAAACACGGACGGCCAGGGTCACTCACTCCTGGCTGTCAACGCGGGCCAAGTCCTCAGCCGGTTCGGTCAACAAAACGAGTCAGTCACGGACTCACTTTAGAGGAGAGCCCAAGGCTCCCTGGCGGCCTAGCGGCTAGGACTAGAGGAAGGCCCAGAGTTGGGGGTACAGAGCGACACACACCGCGATATATGATTCCTTTATTACTTCAGCCCCGTGGATTGAAGTCACTGCGTGCTTCCTATATGGACCTCCAGGGTTCCATAGGCCAAACGAAACGCAATGTTTCTCGGAGGCCGTGTACCTTCCACAGTTGAGTGAGGAGGTGCTTACCACCTGGCTTCTACCGTCACTCACACAGGGTATCCTAGTGCTGGGGAGAGCAACGGTGTGTCACCAGACCCCTGCTCTTAGAGACGTCCCCTTGCCAGACAAGCGTTGAGCTGTGCATTCGATGTGATACATGCGAAGGAGGAGGAGATGGCTGGTGAGACCCACAGCAGCTTGAGGCCATCTGGGAAGGCCTGCTCCACCAGGAGGGTTTCCTCACCTGGAGATAGGGAAGGGGAGGTTTGGACTGAGCTGCGGCTGAGAGAAAGTTCTAAGATGTCCACACCATCGAGAAAAATGTCACAAGGGCCAAGCTAGCACTGAGGCTTATGGGAAGACTAATATCCTCCAACCCCTGGGAGACGCTTCCTCATAGCTTCCCCCTGTAATGCTCGAGTCCCTGATCTGCTGGGACTCTAGCAGGCTGGCGATGTAAGTACGCCAGGTGACAGGAGACAGGCCTGAGATGGTGTCCAAGGCTTTCAATGTGATCACTAAGAGGAGGGGGCTAGATGCTAAGGGCTCTTTAATGCTAAGCTAAGCCACTTGGTTTTGTTTCGGAATAAACAGCCAGAGAACTGATCTTACTATTTATAAATGTCTGTTTAAAACATGGCAAGTCATGTCTTTCGTCTATAAAAAATTATTGGAAGGATAGTGTCTGTTAATTTTACTTTTGAGTGTTCAGCAGTTTTTGTCCCCAAACAGCAAGACCCCCAAGCCCCACCCTCCCTGTCCACCCCATCTCACCCCAAGTGACTTTGTTTGCTTGTTTGTTTCCCTGGATGCAAAAAGTCCTCAAGGGAAATGTTTTGCTCATGTGGAAGAGGTAAGACAAAAACAGCAGAAGCACTAAAAGGCCTCAAAATGGGCGAGTTCAAAAACTGTTTTGAGCAGTGGAAAAGCACCTCGACAGGTGGATTGCATCAAACGGAGAATGCTGCGAAGAAGACTGCAGTTTAGACATGGGAGAGTAAATGCACAATTTGTTATAAATAAATTCCAGGTTTACCTGGGCTCCCCCTTGGATTTACTATGAAACAATGAGCCTAAGGTTGCACAGATCTCCTTGATGTCATCTTAAAGTTTGATTGGCAGGATGCCGGCAGCTCCCGTTGCCAGGGACCCTGCCTCATGCATACTTTCCTTCTGAAACTACCTCAGTAACGGCTCACGGCCCAGGGGTCAGTAGCCGGTGGTGGGGGCCTGCTTGTAGATAGCATCTACTGTCAAACCCAAGAACGGCGTTGGAGATGTTTTCCAGATGTGGCAGCCTGATGGACTACAGGCCCCTCTCGGGCCCAGGACACACACCCGGGAGCTGGCTCCGTCGGTCCTGCCACCCGCCCTTCCCCCCATCCAGAATCCGGCTCTGCTCACGGAGGGCCTCACCCCCCATCAGTTCACCCCCAACCAATCGGCAGTGCCCACCCCCTAGTCCCCTGCCCATCAAATGAGTCCTTTAAAAACTCAGTCTGAGACTCTCAGGGAGGAGGATTTGAGAAATGTCTCCCAGCCTCCTCCTCCAGCTGCTTTGTGATCACCGAAGTCCTTCTCTGCCATAATCGCTGCTGTCCGTCTTCGTTTCTCTGGTCAGTGGGCACAGGAACCCTGTCAGGCTGGGACAGCCCTGCCTTTCTCGCCAACGCGCCTCTTGCCATCCCTAGCCTCACCACTTGGGCTGTACCAGATGGATTCTAGCTCCATCAACACACCAAACGGATTGCTGTTCACCTTGGTACCGTTGCTTCCACTGCCTCAGCACTCCTCTGCCCAAACACCCTTTCTCCTCCTCTGCCTGGTCAACTCCTCCCTGTCATTTTGAAGTCACTGCTTCCCATGGTGATGGAAGACCCTCGTTAGGGTTCCCAGAATGCCCAAATAGAGTTTTATCACTGCACTTACAATTTTCTAATATTTCTCTGTTTTCATCTGTTCTGCCCATAGACAGTAAGCTCATTGAGTATTTTACTGGGGACCATTTATCCCAGCATTCACTCATAACATTTAGCATAATGCCTGGCACACAGAAGGGCACCAAATAAATTGGTTGTTTGAATATGCATTTCACAACAGAACATAAACAAGTAGCTCTTTTCTACTAAAGGTAGAAGAGGGATTCTCCCAAACCCAATGAGAAAGAAATAAGCACGTGCCTTGAGTCAAGGTGTCTAGCCTGAGGAGCTGCCCAATCCATTTGCGCTAGACATACGTTCTATTTAGGTGAGGTATAGTAGGTTTTCAAGTGAAGCTGCCTACATAATGATTCCTCAGTCTAAATACTCCTGAAATGAGCAATATGAAATAGGCAATGATGGCTACAGGCAAATGAGAATACTGGCAATATCATACCAAATGGCAAACAAAGCAAAAACCCTCAGCACTGATGTGACAGGCCAACCAGTGGGATCCCTTAGCCCCTCCAGGGTCCTGTGACCCTTTTGCGTGAACAGTGTCACCTGTGCAGACAATATGGAGGCCCTGCCAGACCAAGGGTCTCAAGCCCCCATGGGTAACTTGTGTCTTCACTCAGGAAAATTGAGCTTTTTCCTTTTTTAAGGTCTAGACTTCTGAGCCAGTTCTATCCTCTGCTCTGCATGGTCACAGAACAAGGCACACGAGAGCAGAGTCATCACCTGCTTGACCAGAGGCAGAAGCTCCAGGGTGCAAACCATGCAGAGACATGCAGTGTGCTAAGCTCAACCAAGTTAGGTCAGTGTCCCAGGGACAGAGGCTAGGTGCTGAGTCTATAGAAATAAAGGAGGCAGAAATAAAAGACCAAAGCCAAACAGTCCCACTCACTCAATGCTTCTTGGTTCCTATATCTGGAATCTCTCCCGAGTTCCCAACCTTAGCCTGGCTCCAACTGTTAACTCTTAACTATCTTTAAACATCCCTGTGTATCTCTGCCATATCTTTTTTTCTTTTTTTGAGTTGGAGTCTCACTCTGTCGCTCAGACTGGAGTGCAGTGGCCGCTCCTGGCCACCGCAGCCTCGACCTGCTGGGCTCCGGCGATCCTTCTGCTTCAGCCTTCTGAGAAGCTGGAATTACAGGCATGTGCTACCATGCCCGGCTGATTTTTTGATTTACTGTAGAGATGAGGTCTCGCTGCCCAGGCGGGTCTCAAACCCGCGGGCTCAGGCAATCCACTCACCTCAGCCTCCCAAAGCGCGAGATTACAGGCTGAGCCACCGAGCCCGGCTTTTTTTTCACATCCTTATCTCTTCTAGAACAAGTCCCATGTGTCCCATCATTGTGCTGTTTCTCAGGAGTCAACTCTTGCTCTTTGCAAGCTTATGTTTACCACTTGCATATGAAAGTTTTCATCCATAACTAAAGTGACACAGAGTCTCTACAAAAAAGCAAAAAACAAAACAAACAAAAAACCTTAGCCGGGCACGATGGCATGCTCTTGTAGTCCTAGCTACTCAGAAGCTGAGGTGAAGATTTCCTGAGCCTCAGAGCTCAAGGCTATGGGGAGCTGTGATCGTGCCACTGCACTCCAGCTTGGGCAGCAGAGTGAGACCTCAACTCAAAAACAAAACAAGTTAAAATCTAAGCCAGGGCATGATATGATAACAGAGTAATTTCTGTCTGATATAATCCAATTTGATTAAAGAATATAGTTTAAAACATGCATGGATTTTGTGTAGTTCAAGGACCTTAGTAACGTCAAAAGACTACTGTGCACAGGTTATTTACATGGTTGACAGGATCATGGCAGGAAAACTGTTGATAATTCTTTCCTTCATGCCTACATTTGGATTATTATAGTAATTTCCACCTTATTATCTTTTGCTTCAACAGTTTTCTTTGAGAGTTCATTAGCAATATAGCATAGGCTTTGGGGGATGTAGCTGCCATTAATTTTGTGTTTGTTTGCTACTGGGAAAATCATAACTGGAAATTTCTAGCAAGATGAGTAGATGTACCTATTAAAGAAGCAGTTGGTTTTTATCACTGTTATGGTAAAAGAATAATGAAATGACAAAAAAGGGAATTCTGCATTAAAAAATATAGCTAACATATTCTAATGATGTAAGTTATATAAATCATGCCTTTATAGTAACAAAAATATTTTAATGTGTTGAATCTATTATTTTTTTAAAAATCAGCCCAATTTTTAGAATAATCTCACCCATTCTTTCTGTTGGTCTCTCTACTTGCAAACCTGTCTCTCCACTACCTCCCCTTACCTAAGCAACCCAATATATCAACTAGCAAGTTACGGTATCATCAAAAGAATTTTGTGGGTATGACAGCTACATAGAATTTTCATAAAATGTTGGTCCAGAGCCCATATATGTATTTCTATAACCTTGAGAGTATAAAACACGCATGGTTCAGATTAGGCTAAGTATGGAATAAGTCCTCCAAACACAACTTCAAACAGAATTAATGCCATTTCTCTATCGGTATAATTTAACAACAGTTATTTTCATCTTCACTGCCCTGCTGGAATCCTTCTTTGTTTCAGCATGACAGTCCAATGATTTAGGCTTTCATCACTTGCATCTGAAGTCAAAAT